TCGAGCTGCTTAAGAAAGACAAGGGACGACTGTTGTCTCAGCTCACAGCTCAGGAGTCTGTGATCGACGGCCTCAGGGCCGAGAGGAAGATCTGGGGCCAGGAGCTCGCTCAGCAAGGTGGGAGACGTCCAGCACATGATGGTGACTCTGAATGAGCCTTATAGTGCATCGCACACATTCAAACATGAGTACAGGGCGGTATACTACGAAGCAGGATTTTCGCTTAGCCGGCTTACTTCAGGGAAAACTCGGGGTTTCCGGTCCTACGAAGCTGGTTCTCTTTTTAGCAGGCTAGATCTCCATGGTAACTTATGCTGTGCGGCTAACCTGGTCGGGCCCAGGTTAGGTTGCAGGCTAAGAGCTCAACTCAGTGAAAGCACCGCCTGCTGACCAATCAGAGGTTAGTGTGCGGAGTTTAAAGCGATCAAGTCATATTACAGGAGAAAGGAAATACAGAAAAGCTGCCGTTGCAGGAAAGACGGCCGGCAAAAATCACCGACTGTGTGAACGTGAACATTAATAGAATATCACCTCCCATCTTCAGAGCAATCTGACTATTATAACATTAGCGTTAAGAAAGCTTACTTAAATATCTGCCACAACATAAGTAACCGGATCAGAGTAACATTAAGTACAGTCCGCGGCATATCACCTCATAATGTATCATATATTTTCTTCAGCTGAGCCGTATCTGGCCGTGCAACACTCACAGTGTCACATACTGTATGCAGAAGTAGATATTATTTTAAGCAACACATTAAGTTGACGAAACACTCGAGACAAATGTAATTAAAGTCAGATCCACTCGTGTCGGGGCAGTGATATCATAAACCTGTTAATGTACGCATTCAAACACTTTTTCTGTTAGCAGCTGTATTCACCTTGCAGGTGGCTTTTATCCTGGATAAAGTGTTTAAGTCATGGATGTTTAAAGTTTAACTTCTTCATTTGTCTAATATTATAGTTGACTTTTCATTCAGGAAGTATGACGCTGCGCTGTCAGTGCGCTTCTCCATGTTTGTGATTGGTCGAATGCTCCAAATACCACCCCTTTCATGTGAACGCGCACCTAACTAGATAGGACACGGCTGGCTTGACCGATCCACTTGATAACCCGGGTCGTATTACCGTTCAGCGAGAGCGCGTAGGTTTTGGATTAGGCCAACCGGCTAACTCAAACATATCCAGGTTAGGTTGAACCAGCTTCGTAGTACAGGCCCCAGGTCTTCCTTGAGTCCAACTCTTGGTCATAGGCAGAGTGAGTCACTCTTAAATGTTAACTTAAGAGTCAGTATGAAGGACATTTGAGCTGTTTGGTTAAATACTATATGTGCTGATGTTTTATTTCATCTGTATCAAGTAAAGTCTGTCATCTAGTGGTTATGTGGGAGAAACACACAGGGCATGGTAAATGTACACTGTAGAAAATGCTACGACGGAAAATAATTCTTCATATAGGCAATAAAATGCACTCAAATAAGAAAAAGAAAAGGGATCGAAAAGATACATAATAATAATAGATGTTAAAGTAAAGTTTTATAGATGAGATCTGATTTACAATTGTATGTGTTTCTCTATACTAGGAGCATCCTTGTCTCAGGATCGTGGACGCCTGGAGGCCAGGTTAGAGGTGCTGGGCGCTGAGCTGGAGAGTCAGAAGAAACTGAACGAGAGAGACACTGATGCCCTAAAAATCAAAACCAAAATCATTGATGACCAGACAGAGACCATCCGCAGACTCAAAGAGGTACTTTTAATATTGAAATCACTGAGTTGTTCTAAAACCAAAACCTTGGTCCATCACATCTTATCACTTACTGTACGGAGGCTCAGTCACTGGTACTTTTTCATTTACAAAGCCATGTTGGATAAACTACCATCTTATATCTGCTCCCTGATCTCTCGGCGAATGGAAAGTACTTATTGCCTGAGATCGCATGCTGTGGTTTTATTAAATGTACCAAGTGCTAGGACTGTCTTAGGGAAGAAAGCTTTTAGATGTGCAGCTCCACTAACATGGAACAGTCTGCAAAAAGAATGGAAAATTACCAAGCTAGTACCACTACATGTTTTTAAAGCTCGGTTGGATGCTACAAAATCAGATGCTGTTGGTAGGCTACCTGTACATGTGGTTAAATATGTAAATTGTAATCCCTGTACATTTTGCTGTATGATGTCCTTTTGTTGTTCTGTTGTTTATGTTTTTATGTCTTCTTGTGGAACCTACTGCTGCAGGTCTCCCTTGAAAAAGAGATCATTGATCTCAATGGGATTTTACCTGGATAAATAAAGTTTAAAAAAAAGAAGAACCTGGAACATCCATAGACGTGCGCTTTCTCTTTCTCCTCTGCCTTCCTGCTATCTAGTCTCTGCAGGAGCGCGATGATCAGACCCGCAGGCTGCGCGATGAGGCGGTCCAGACCCAGAAGAGGTTCCAGAAGCAGCTGGAGGAGGAGACATCTGAGCAGGCGGAGCTGAAGGAGCGGATCGAGCATCTGAGCCTGCGCAAGGAGGAGCTCAAACAGCAGCTGGAGGACAAGGACGCAAAGCTTGAGGAGATCAAAAGAGTTTACAGGCAAGCATCCCATCACGCACATATTAAGACACTTTATGTACAATATACTGACATGGATATATGTCTATCTATTCTTCTATTAGTGATTCCAGTAAGAAGTGGCAGGCGAAGGCCGACCTGCTGACTCGGTTGGAGAGCCAGGTGAAGAGCATGAAGGAGAGCTTTGATTCCAAGGAACGCTTGCTGCTGGAAGAAAGAGATAGAGCAATCGAAGCACAAAAGTATGATCAATTACATGAGACAAATATAACGTGTAGTTATCAAGTAAAAGTTAATTATATTTGATAAAATTAGCTTATTTTAGATGTATTTGCATCTCTTTTGTAGAAATACCAATTAGCCTGCATGAAATCAGTCACAAGAAGAATTTTAAAAGCAGTCAAACCTTATAATACAGTTTTGACTCTGTATTTCCATATGTACGATGTGCACATGTTGGTCCAATCCACCTGCTGTGGACAGGTAAGGACAGCCATTCTGCTTTCTTTAATCCTGGAGGAGAGGGAAGTCATTTACACTGTCAAGAAAGCAGTTTAATTGCTTTCATCTAAAGCCTTAAAGCAGGGGTGTCAAACTCAAGGCCCGGGGGCCAAATCCGGCCCGCAACTTCATTTTATGTAGCCCCGCAAGAGCTTGCAAAGAATATAATACGTTTATTATTTGGTCACATGCCACTTTACAGAAGCAGGTTGCCCATAAACTACATGTCCCACAATGCATCTCATTTTGTGACATGTGCACTGAAGAGACTTGCAATTATTTGCCCTGGACTTCTGCTTTCAGACGTAGTTAATTATGAAGTTATTACCCTATCTGATAATAATCCAATGCAGAGGCAATAATGTAATATAATACATTATTTTATGTATATTTATATATGTATATTTATATAGTTACAACCGGCCCTTTGAGTGCAACCATAATACTGATGTAGTTCGCGATGACATTTAAGTTTGATACCCCTGCCTTAAAGGACCATACTTTATCTCACTTGGACATTTCTGGGCCAGTAAGCAGTATTTCTTAAATACATGGCTCTTCCATCATTCTCTTAAAACCCAAAGATAGAGAACTCTGAAGACTATTAATTGTATTTACATGTTAGGTATAAAGTGAAATTATGATCAGGGTGTCTTAGTGCCTTTGATAAAGAGCATGTAACTTATGTCATTTAAAATAAAACATATGTTTGTTCGTCAGTGTTTCTTTTCTGGTACCGTCCATCCTAATATCCTGACAAGGCAGTTAGGTCAACATCCTCTTAGTTCCTTTTGTAACATTATGTTTTATCTGTTGTCTGTCTTGCAGAGCTGCAGTAGATAAATTACACTGTGTGGATGATGCATTTCGTCGACAGCTAGAGTCTGGTCAAGCCTCTCATCAAGCTGAGCTGCTACGACTGGCAAATGATAAGCAGAAGAAGATTGAACAAGCCAATCAGAAGGTAAAATATAGACAGGATAGTTTGTATGAGAACCTCATGTTGAACAATTTAAGACAAGTTGTATATCTGTGTCCTCCTCAGGTATATGATGTAGAGGAGGAGATGCGTCAGCTCCTGGAAGAGACGGAAACCACCAAAAGAATGATGGAAGAGAAAATGAAACGTCTCACAAGTGTACTTAAAGACTTTTAACACATGACATGTGACCTCTTTACTGCCATGGCAGCTTTTGAATTTAAACACATTTTTTATTAAACAAGTGTTTTTTATGTTAAGTTATTTATGTATTTTAGTATATCATGATTTATCTAATAAATTCTCTCTCGAGTATATTCTTTCTTTTTATTAAAGAACATTTTCGCTAGTTGGCCTACTACGTAATCTATGTTGTTGTGTTGTGCACTTAAATTAAACTAAACAGATATACAGCTAATTGCAAACCTAGAGAAACCATGAATTGTAATCATGGTAAGGGTGTGTAATTAAAGTGTGAGTATTAAGAATGGACATATTTATCTGGGTTTACTTTGTTGAAGTTACAGATGTGTATACAATAAATCTATAAAAAGCAAAACCCTTTAACAGTCCAGTAAGCATACAGGATAACACACTAAACTTTAGGTTAAAATGTACTCAAGTTATATATGCTGTGAATGATAGCTTTTGTGTTCTGAAAGTCAGTTTAGTGTCAAATGTAATGGAAGTTAAACATATGACTTGAATTATAACTCCTGCATCATAATTTGACTTATTCAAAGTGATAAAATAGTTAGCAGTGTGAAGTACGAGATACTTAACCAGGCGTGAGTATGTCTGGCTTTACTTTATTATTTATTTTTGACTCTTCTTGGCGTCCATACCAGTCTATGGTCCATACACATTGTTGAGGATTGATTGGGCGGAGGGGGTGGGGCCAAATTCTGGTCGAGGAGGGGTGTCGCGAGCAGGACAGCGGTTGCCATGGCAACAGTAGCCTAACGTAACGTCCGTTGATTTAAAAATCCAACAGGTACTGGCCAGCCGTCGACCAGTCGAGTTTATTTTAACAGAGGCTTTATTGGACAGAAATGGTTGTTATTGGTAGTTAAAAAACAGACGCTTGACTTTAAAAGGAAGTATTTTACAGAAGGAAGATGGAGTTGGAGATGACGGAGACTGTTCGCTCGACACCGAGTCGCCACGAGAAAAGTTTGGGGCTCCTCACGATGAAGTTTGTCAGTCTGCTTCAAGAAGCGAAGGATGGCGTCCTGGATTTGAAAGTGGTCAGTGAAACGGAGAGGAGAGCAGGCTCAGGGTGGCTGTTTCTCTGTTGTTTTCGGGGGGACTAACCCGTGTGCCACCTGGGAACAAAGGGCTGTCAGTCACAAACGGGGCCGGTCAGGTGCATTGATTTACTTAACAGGTGGTCTGGCTAGCCGCCATTAGCTCCTTGTTGGTGGGTTCAGTAACACCGACTCACAAGCAGGAACAACTGTTTACATAGGGTGTCTGTGAAGCTAGTTTGGAGTTACATTATTAACGTTTATTAAGATAAACCATCTTAATACTGTCACTTTTTAAGTTAAAGTAGGGCTAGGGGTCTGAATATTATTTATTTCTCGGATGACATATCTAACTTCAAAGAAAACAAACTTGAAATCGGGAGGCAGTCTCATTAAACTATATTTAAATATAGATCCTCTTTTGAATTGAGTCTTAAAGGTGTATTTTGTGCTAATTTTAATTCATTTTTTTTAATACTTTAATGTTTCATTCAGTGGTGTAAAGTAACTAAGTACATTTACTCAAGTACTTGGGTACATGTTTGAGGTACTTGTACTACTTTACTTGAGTATTTTCATTTTATGATACTTTATACTAATACTCCACTACAGTTTGGAAAGAAATCTTGGAATGTTTAATAACTACAATTATTTCACAACATTAGTTACGAGTTACTTTTGCGAGTTTATTATATTAATACAAAAGTTAAATGACCTAATACACCTTGATGTACTATAATGGATGGATATACCTGGCAGTACAGAAAGTCATTAATGCTATCTCATCCTGCTACATTAATGCTTCACTTATTATAAACCCGTGATAATATATGTATTATTCTGCAAAAGGCCACTTTGGATAATGAGTACTTTTACTTTTGGCACTCAAGTATTTTGGTTGCATAACTTTTGTACATTTACTTAAGTAACATTTTGAATGCAGGACTTTTACTTATAACTGAGTATTTACACTGCAGTATTAGTACTTATTACACCACTGCTTAAATCTAGCCTCTGAAGTAGGCATTCTCATTTAAGTACATTTAATATGGATCCTCTTTTAGTATAACCCGAGTGAAATACATCTAATCTAATCAGTGTGAAATGTATTTTGACTGTGACTCTAATGCTAGATTACACCATCGTTGGTGTCACAGACAACAGTTGGACACAAGTCTGAACTGGTTCCAAAACTTTTTGGAACACCTTAAAACAAAACGTTGTTGTTCTCTTTGACTGTACAAATCTGATGCAGCATGTGACATTGGTAAATGTATGTTTGTCGCCTCAAAGAAACCAGTTTATACACTAAACAGTCATTGGAAAGATGATCAGAAGATTAATTGAGGAGGAGAAAAGTTGATCAATAGTTGCAGTTACATATTGTTCTGAAAGTATCCTTCCTAACATCTCTTAAAATGTTCGGTTTTCTCATGGCAGTCTGCTATCAGCTAGAAAACCCTTCCACTAAAACATAAAGTTGTGGATGAATCTTTGCGAGACCCCACTGAAGTATCTTCTTCCACACATCTACTTTCTTACCATCACACAAATAGGTAGTTTTCCCTCCTTCTTGCGCGCCAAAGCTGTGTAATGTTTACACAGCGGGCTCCTCAGACCCTTTCCCTCCTCCTTCCTCCTCTGCTATTGTATAACTGTCCTCTTCTGCCAAGTGGTTTTATTTCTGTTTGTGCAGCTTAATTTGCCAAATCATTCATTTGCCGCCGTTGTTTGAGTCTCTCTCTTTTCACATCAATAAATGTTTACCACCCAGATAGTGGGAGTCCTGTTAAAGCCTGGTAAATGTATCTGTGATGTATCTTGTCAACAATATTAAGCTGCCACTCTGTAAGACTCGTTATTGAGATGTCTGAATTGACAGGCTGCAGACAGCTTGGCAGTGAGACAGAAGAGGAGGATATACGACATTACCAACGTACTGGAAGGAGTCGGGTTGATTGAGAAGAAAAACAAGAACATAATCCAGTGGAGGTTTGAAAAAACTATTTTTTATGTTCAAATCTGTCAAACATTCACTTTCTTACTGATAAGCAATTGCCTTCGAAATGTTTTCATAAATGAATGTTGTCAAAGTGAAACATTTTATTGCACTTCTATGCTACTGTGCATGAAAAGTATCATCTTTCACCTTTAGGCATTACATTGAAACGTGTTTCCGTGTTTTTAGAAAGCAAATCTAATTATAAGATTAGATTAGAATGAGAGGGATGAAACCCTCTTTAATGGTCACACATGCAGAGCACACAGTGACATGTTCTCTGCTTATAACCCATCCTAGTACCAGGAGTCTATACTAGGAGCAGTAGCAATAGCACTTTTTTAGCTATTGCACAGCGCCCGGGGAGCAATGGGAGTGAGGAGGGAAGGGGGGTGTCCGGTGCCTTGCTCAAGGGCACCACGACAGGGCAGGAGGTGAACTGGGACCTCTCCAAGTAGCAGTCCACTCCATATTTAGGTCTGTTCGGGGACTTGAACCAGCGACCCTACGGCTCACAGTCTAAGCCCCTACTGACTGAGCCACTTAAGCCTTAATATATGGAGAAAACCATCACTAATAAAGCCCTCCACCATCTGCCCCCCCCCTACCTCACTGACCTCCTCACCCTCTACCAACCACCCCGGTCCCTCAGATCCACCTCAGCCGGTTTGCTTTCAATCCCCAAGGCCAAACTCCGGAGCTTCGGGGACAGAGCCTTCTCTGTGGCAGCCCCGAAGCTCTGGAACTCACTCCCCCAAGACCTCCGTGAGTCTGAGTCCCTCACCCTGTTCCAGTCCCGCCTCAAAACCCACCTTTTCAACTCTTTATCTATAAAGCCCCCCCCCCTCTTAATCAACTTCCTCCTGACTGCTTTTCTGTTGTGTTTTTTTGTTTTGTTTTGTTTGTTTTTTTGTTTGTTTTGTTTGTATACCCCCCCCTCCCAAATGTAAAGCGTCTTTGGGTCCAGAAAAGCGCTATATAAAATTAATATATTATTATTATTATTATTACTAATATATGACTCGTTGCTGAGCTTGTGCTGTGCTACCACATGATTTCTTCTCTACATCCAGGGGAGAGAACTCAGGCAGCCAAACTCAGGAGGTGTTGGAGCAGTTGAAGGTTTTGAAGGCCCAAATCTCTGAGCTGGAGGCCCAAGAGAAAGAGCTGGACCTCCAGAAGGCATGGCTCGAGGAGAACAACACACATATCAACCACGATCCCATCACCAGCCCATATCCTTTTATGCCATCTGGCAGTTTCTTTGCTTGTACTTGTATATGTATTTACACCAGTTACTTTAAAATGCACCTTACGATTGGACTGAGCATATTAAGTGTAAATTAGACTTTTTCTTTGTGATCTTGAATATGTGTGTCTCTCTGTAGTTCCCTCCTGAGGCCACATTTATTCATTTGAGAGGAAAACACACTTTTACTTGATCTGTTTTACCATAGTTTGCTTTTTAAGAACATTTTATAAACGGAGGATTGTCAATATATTTGCTATTGTCAGTTTCTTGTGAATTCACAGTTAGGCTAATCCTGAGGTGCACAATGCTCACAGTCTTGTTTTTCTAGTTTTATTGTCTCTATTTTCCTCCCATAAGTAATCCTGCTTCTGTTTACTTAACACGTCTCCACTTATAAATTCGTCACGCATGAAGACATCTGCAATGCCTTCAGTCGAGACACTCTTCTTGCTGTAATGGCTCCTGCTGGGACGCAGCTGGAGGTACCTCTGCCAGAAACGGTTGGTAACTTCCTAAAATCTATTTTGTATTGATTAGAATAGATGGGCTGTGTTTGAAAAGTGCTGCCTCCTACATACCCAAATGCTCAGTGTTTACTGCCTGCTAAATGACCGATTAAGCATCACGTTACCAACAGACGTTCCCACTGAAGTCCTCTCGAGCAAGAGAGTCCCGTGACTTCACACAGCCAGTCTGACCAGCTCCAAAGACTAAGCTGATCACATATTGGGAATCTAAACGTTTAGCTCAGATTAACAAACACCCTAGTTTAAATAACTCTCCTTATTTGTAAATAAATGATTTCTGTGGCTACTGAGGGGAAACTGAAGCGCGCAGTGAACACTACACTTCAGTTGTTTTGGCGCATTTGTAAGAAAACGATAGCCCATTTAAACATCCAGTTGGTACATTGGCATTCATTTGGAGATGCTGCCAAAAAGTGAGTTGAAGGATCCTGAAATGCCCGTTGAGTCAAACTCCAACATGATGTATTTGTCTGTTGGTTTGACAATGAAAGAGACCCCTTTCACATCCAAGTAGTCGTGCGATCCCTTGCAGTATATGTTTGAAGGTTGATTATATCTGCTGTAATGAGGACAACGCTCTCCCTCTCCACGCAGGGTCAGAGTGGTCAGAAGAGGTATCAGGTGAACCTGCGCAGCCACTCGGCTCCCATCCAGGTGATGCTCATCAACAGGGATTCAGACTCCTCAATACCGGTGGTCTTCTCCGTGCCGCCCATCGACGACATCTGTCCAATGCCAACTCCCCCCAGCACCCCCGCCACCCTGCAGAGGTTTCCTCTCACCACGTCCAGCTTCTCCTCCTCCAACACCACCTCCTCCTCCTCCTACTGCAGCCAGGGCTCCTTCTGCTCAGACCACCAGATGGTGCTGCCCGACCACGACGAGGCGCTGACGCCCACCTCCACCCCTCCTGACATGCAGATGGGTAAGCAAGCTTATTAAGTTCTTCTACAAAAACAAAAAAAATACCACATGATATGATTTATTTGATGTGTTCAGGGACACAGTTTATACAAACAGTAGCATCAGTCCGGCAGTGGCTCAGTCAGTAGGGGCAAGGCACCGGAACCCCCACTCCCATTGCTCCCTGGGCGCTGCCCACTGCTCCTAGTACTAGACTCCTGGTACTAGAACAAATGTCACTGTGTGCTCTGCATGTGTGACCATTAAAGAGGGTTTCATCCCTCCCTCCCATTCTATCTATCTATTATCTTATAGCAGAAATGACTTGATTTTTAAACCTGCAAAAGTTCCTTTAATACTTTATGTTAAAAAAAATTGCAGAAATATTAGTAAAAGTTCAATGTTTCAGTCCACACATTATGTCTGACATTATCAATACACAGGCCTCACAAGAAAAGAATCTCTTAAACATTGAGTCAACGTTTGATTAAATACCCTGCAATGATAGAAATGCTCTACACTATGAGTCAAATGACGTTAGTTATTATGACCATCCCTAGTTTTGTCAATTATCTTTTTTATTGTATTATATCAGAAAAGGTACCTAAATAAACGACGAGGCGTGTAATAGTTGTGTTGGACGTTGGCATCAAGTCTTCAAGGAGTCAACATTCAAGTCAAATATAGTTGTCTAAATGTACTATCCAAAGAACACCTTAAAAAACTATTATAGTCCAGGAAGCGGTTTTTCCCTGACCTACTAGTTACATTATGTGTGGCCTTTTTCCACATAGAAATCAATCTAGTTGTGATCTGACTGCACCTTGGGAAACAACAGCTGAAAATAGGAAGTGATTACTGGTTTTTACTGTAAGAGTGAACTTTCAACACCCAGTTCTTTCAGCATCATATGCTGCCATCCTTTTTTTAGTGCAACTCTATTACTCAATTAGTAATCATCTCCTTGTTGTTTAACTATGATGGCTTGCACTGAGAGTAATATGTTTTGACTACAATTATGGAGCATTAAATATTGGCCAACACACACATTCTCTGTTTCGCACTCGGAGACGTTCCCCAAATCCAATGACTCAAAGATTTGCATTGCTGAGCAGTAAGAAAACACTTTCATTCATGAAATACGTCATGTGTGCATTTGGTTCATTACAGCTTTAAAAGTCTGCTGATATTTGATGTTGGAGCCAAGATGCGAGAACAAGATCATTCTAGTTCCTATAGTATTTGCTCGGGATGCTCCGATCGCCAATTTCGGGGCCGATCGCCGGGATCAGTATCGGCCGATACCAATCGCCGATCCGATCGAGTGGGCGGGGCCTAAATGTAAGATTTAAACATCACTTTAAATCTTCCATTTAAAGTGATGTTTAAAACTCAGTTAATGGGGCTCATTCACTGGAGCTTCCACACACAACAATCAACTTAATTATTACATTCAAATGATGTACATTATTCAAGTTTACATTCACTTTGGAGAATAACACGGGAGAAATGAGCGGAAGCGCTCTCTTTTCCTCTCTCCCTCTCTCTCCCCCCCCCCCCCCCTCTCTCTCCCTCCTGACAGCCTGTCAGTATCTCATGCAGCTCACTGATCCAGTAATGAGTGACCCGACAGTGAAGAATACATATATTTATAATAACTAGTTTAGCTTGTTCCAGAGGTAGATAAAATAGCTAAGTGTGTTAGGTCTAACTCTTACGGTACGTCCACACAGCAGCTTTTCGAAAATCTTGGAGCTGGGCGTGTCTGAAAGCTTGGGGATTTTTTGCGAGCAACAACCATTCACATGAATCTCCCGCCCCCGACATACAAAGCAAAAAAACCCGGGGATTTTATGCGAGCAATAAATATAAAATCCCCAAACAGGCGAAAACCTACCAGTTTCACCCACTGTCTCTGCCACCTCCCTCCATGCCTGGTTCTTCCGGTTTGTATCCCGTTAATAGTTCTGGTCGTAAAGAACCGGGTGATTTGCTACCGTAATTTCTCGTTTGGAATATGAGGAAATGAACTGCGGTCTGGTTCTCTCTGTGTGTGTGTTTCGCTGCGCTTACCGGTCCGGCGGGCGGAACTGCAGGATTTCTGCCTCAGATACCGTTAAAGAGAAACACTTTGATATGAGGATCAAATGTTACATAGCGCTGCCCAGACTTGAAATGACTCCCACCACAGCTGACTGTAGAAGTGTCTCTGTCCCAGTGTGTCGCGTTCTCTTTAATAATTCTAGGTCCAGATAATTGAGCCCTGTAAAGTTTAATTGTCCACAATAGACTGTAAAGTATAGCTAAGTTTTGCCCCCCGCTGCTCCCTGCAGAGTGTCACGTTCAGTCCGCGGTGATGTTGGGGCAGCAGCAGATGGACCTGGGCTCAGAGTTTCAGTCGGTGCTGGACGTGGGCAGCCTGCTGAAGCTCAGCGCACCCGGAGACCACCTGAAGGACGACAGAGATGGTATGTGACGCTACAAGGGTTATCTCCATATGTACATACAGGCATGAAACTCAGGGTCATTTAATGTTTGCTACACATTTGTTTCAATCAAGGCTTTTAGATTCAAGTTTGCTTTTAATTCTCTTATAGGTGCTGTGGACCTTATTGATGAGCTAATGTCTGCGGAGGGTAAGTACTCAAAACCTTAACTAATGCTATAAATGAAAAACTGTCAATAACATGTCTGCATTAACAGTATATAGACACATGTAATTAACTCAACCAAGAGTCTACAGCTATGCTAGCAGCTCTTTCAGATCGCAGATGAGGTGACGTGCCTTTGTGACGTGCAACAACATTAACCTTTCAGTTGGTCGCTTGTTAGCAGACCCTTCACGCGATGGCAGAGCGAACCGGTACAGGCAGGGCCCATAGTAATAGCCCTATAGTTTAAATCTACTACCCACAAATAAACATATGGACATGGGTTACTATTTTTTTTTTAAATGTATGTGTATTTTTGGAACCTATCCATGTGATTTTATTTTGGAGTTAAATGCATCAATCTGCTGCACTTTGAGGAGAACATTTAGAGACTAGATCTATGGGAACACCTATATGAAACAGAACTGTATACATTTCAATAATCATAAAATCATGGCCATAACCAAAACATACCATTTCCAAAATGAAAAAACACTGAAACGTATTTATTTATTTTTGGTTCATTTATAGTGGTGAGTGTGTCTGTGCTCCTGAATCAGCCTCCTGTCTCCCTCCTCTCCCCCCTGCTCCTCTTTGAGGCAGCAGCAAAGACTAGTTTTAGTTCTCAACAAGTTGTCAAAAGTGTATCTTACCTTTTTTCACCTAGTTAACTTTTTATTTTTTTATTCATGCCTATTTTACTAATCACTCCCCTCTCAAATGGAAATATGTGTTTACATAAATGGTGACCAAACCGTTTGAGACCCACTGAGAACTTAGACTAAGTTAACTATCTAAACACTCAAGAGTCCTTTACCTCGCCTGAGCTGAGGTTAGGACACACAGAGACCAATCAAGGGCTTTGATTTATGATCTGTATGACAGTGGCCATGTCGGCAGGCCCCATCATGTAGACAGCTAGTCACCCTGTGTGAGGCAGGCCACTTAACAGGCCAGGCCATCGGGAAACCCCCCGGTCCTCCCGATGGCCAGTCCGGGACTGAGTACAGGAGGCGTAGAGCGAGGGATCATTGTCCACAAGTTAATCGATCGCAGATGGCGTCGTGGTCGCGGACGAATAAAAAATAAAAATAGGTTGCGAAATATACTTGCCGTTAATATACCTGGGTGGCCCGCCCAAGTAAAGTCTGTGTGGGAAACCCTCAGCTATTCTGCTAGCATAACTTAATGTCCATAGTGTTTATTTTGTTCTCTGTTCATGTTTACAGGATGATTTGTTGTTAACGCTCCTCTCTTCTCACACAGTAATAGACTACAGCTTTAACCTGGACGACAACGAGGGAGTGTGTGACCTTTTTGATGTGCAGATCCTAAATTACTGATGGCCCTCATCTGGACACTTGTACAATCTCAGCAGGCACTTTTTGCCTCTCTCTAAAGAGGCTCTAAAGATGCCTTTCCCCATTTTTGTTATAATTGCACAGCTGATACTTAAACATACCGCTGTTATCTGAAAAAAAACATGCACATCAGACTTGTTACTGTTTGTCTGCCAGGCAACTTGAGTTTGCCACACAACACAGAAGGGCCTGAAATACTCACCAATGAGTCATTATGTGTCCAATTGAATCGTTTCCTAGTTAAAGATCATTCAGAGTAATAGTTGGTGGAAGTGAGCCAGGACAATCTTCAGCCTTACTGCACTTTTGCGTGTATGTATTTTTGTACTTTTCTACATCCAGAAATGTGAAAACCCTCTTTGTTTCAACAATTCAGTATTGGCTTCTTTCTTACATTTGATACAGGGTTTATGATCGAGTTCAGGGCATGTAAGTCACTTTACATGAAAAGCATCATTTGTAAAAGTTAGTTATTTTTGATAAAAGGGCATTTTGTATTTAATAAGTGAATGTTTTGGTTACATTTTGTAACCTTGTTCTCATGTGAAAATGCCAGAAAGATTTATTTTCTAAATTATTGAGACTGCCATTTTAGGCCTCTAAAGTTTTGTTTTTTACATTTTGTATAATTAGTTATATATTTAAATAACTAATGTTTTTTTTATTATTTAATTAAAAGAATATATTCTTGGTTCTAGTTTGTTGAAAATGAAGCTGTTTGACTGCCTTAATTGTGATTCGTGAATTAGCCAGATATCTGATCTGAAATGTCTAATTGTTGAGATGTTAAATATTTTGTATATTTATGGTTTTCTTTGATTACAGAAGTCATGTTTTTGTGACGTATTGTTTTTTATTTGCACATTTATGAAGTTTTTTCAATAAATCTCCATTTACAAAGTTGCTGACAACTAGTGATTATAATTTGATTTGAACATACTGAACCTTCGTTATGCGAGACTGGTTTGTCTGGGAGTATTCAAGGTTTCATGCTATCTGAACGCTTCCTGCAACGCTTCCTTGTTTGGCTGAGTGAAATGGTTAGCACTCGCAGATGGCAAACCTCATGGAAAGCATGTGTGCCAGAGCCTGACCTGCAGCATCACTTGATTTATACCAGCTGGGAAACGGGAAGATGTTTTTTTCTAATCTCATTTTTGGAGAACTTGTGAAACTCTAACACTCAATATGTTGACATTTTGTCTGACGGATTAATGACAAACCACAGGGGACATTTCCAAGTGCTGTGTTAATGTCTGATTCACAGTTTTAATTTGCTCACAAACAATAAGCCCTGCACTTTTATACACTTAGACGTGCAATTCATTTTTATTGACACAAAGTTTATATTGTCCGCTTTAAAACAAATCTGTTAGCACAACAACCTTTGATCCCATCAGCTATAAACATATTGGAACATTTTGTAATATCTGACATCCTTTAGCTGTGGCTTTTCTCTTAACCCTTGTGTTCAAAAGCTGTTAACGTTCATTGTGTTCGCGAGTCGATTTTGACCCATGATTGAGTCCAAACACTCAAAATGACTATCATCCAATATTGTTTGAACTACATCATAACTAACTTCTTTTGCATTTATAACCGTACAATCCTGTAATTTAATGTTATGGCCCAAAACACATTACACCACATATTGCACACGTGCATGTGTGTGTTCAGGTTCAAGTGTTAGTGTACATATTCTTTGAGAAAGGTTGAGTTCCCGTGGGGGGAGGGGAGACCAGGTGCATGTTGCGAACAATTATTGTTACAGTTGATGGAGGGGGAGGGGTGTCTAAAGTCAAAGATGAATCTTGATTGGGCCAAATTTGACCTCGAGTCACCCAAAACAATTCTGCTGGGTCTCCCCAGACCCCAACACCAAATTATACACTTTTTCGACACCTTCAGACTTGGCAAAAATTGTCCAAATCAGTTTTGTAGTGTTTATATAGCTGCTGTGGAGGATATCATGAAGCCTTGTTCCGATTAAAAAAAACTAAAGCGTAGTTATTATATCATTTGAACTAGAAACGGGTCACGGGAGACCCGAACACAACATAAGGGAAAGATAATCCTGATCAATAACAAATGAACATTACCGGCACATTTAAGAGTTTAACCTCCTGGTAATTACCACAGACTCTGTATCTAAAGAGGTATGTGCTTTTACCGGACGCTTAACAAGTCCATTACTCAATGCTTAAATCTGTGCAACCCTCCTTCTCTATGCCTCTTCAAGTCATCTTGCAAGGTTGATCAGTCCGGAAGAGAAACATCTGTAATGAAGTAATAGCAGTTTGCAGCGATTGCGAAGGACGCCCATCTCCTCATAAAGAAGTTACTAGGAGTTGTTTTTCAGTGTGTTGTGCCGTGAAACTAAGACGTACGTGTGCAGTAAATGTGCCTCATATGTTCTGAGGAATTCAGGAAACTAATCTGTGGTTGTCCCGCATGAAGGGAAGTTAAATCCCACTGGACGTAGATTTGGGACAAGGCTCTGCAAGCAGCACCCTGAGTGACATAAAGCTGATATGTGATAGCTTTTCATTTTCAGGAACTACAGCTAAGAAGTACAACTCATGATCAGAAAGGACATTATTAGTTTCTAAGTCATGCCAGTACATCTGGTTCAGGCTGTGCAGATGTTTAAGATCAAGTGTAGAAGGTATGTTTACTTAAGTTGATAACAATTAAAACAATGATGATTTCAAACAAGTTGCCGTTACAAAGTAGTTCTCTGAAACAGCCGAGTTCCAGTTCATTTGTTAAGTGTGTGATGATGAAGAGAAGCGAGTTCGAGTGTTTATCTTTGTTCTGCTTTTTACTGTGAGCGCAGCTAGAAAAACAGTAAATGTGTCTTGTGAAATCCAGGAGGAATGCGTGTTATCTCATCGTTCTGGAGAAAGAAGGAAACAATCAAATTTAAGCTTGTAAGTTATCCTGCAATGAGTGCTTTTTTAAAATTCTGTAAAACTTTTAAATCAAAGTTCAAATGGTACATTTAAAATACTCAAAACATAAAACCAAATCGTTCATCACTCGCATCAGAAAAAACATACAATTATTTGGTTACTTTGCCTAAAGCTAAAATATTGACATAACACCTTCCTTTTGTTGTTGTTGAGGGAATCAAGAGTTAAAACTTCAGTGGAATTTTACATCTTAACGATTTGAACACATGCCTTTCTTCTACTTTACTAAATGAGTGATAAAGACTGATTGTTACCCCATGTTGAATCATATTGAGAATGTGTTTGTCTCTTGAGATGCACTGTGGGAGTTAAATGACATCTCCATCTCTACTTCCTCTAAAGGGTTTTCTCTCCTCCTCTGTCTTCTCTTCTCGCCAAACTTTTTGACCACTTTCCCCATGTGCTGCCTGAAGGAGGAGCCCACGAAGGCGTAGAGGAGGGGGTTGAGGCAGCAGTGAGTGAGGGCCAAGCTCTCCGTCAGCTGAGCCGCCTGATCCAGCACTTTGCTGGTCCCGCAGTGGGTCACCAGGGCGTAGACAGAGTCCATCGCTCGGTAGACCTTCAACACGTTGTAAGGCAGCTGAGTGACCACGAAGACCCCCACCACTGTGAGGAGGACGCGCAGAGCTTTCCACTTCTTGCCTCTGCTCTCCGTGGGAAGGTCTTTCAGTGCCCGGCCCACACTGCAGTAACACACCACCATCACCAGGAGAGGAAGCAGGAAACCCAGCAGCACCTCGGCCATCTCCAGAGCCGCCTTCCCCTCTCGAGCCATGGAGGCAGGGTAGATGGCCAGACAGACGCTCCTGTTGGACGACCATCTCACTTCGGAGAGGATCAAATCAGGAAGTCCGAGTAAAAAAGCTGTCATCCAAACCACAAAACAAATCCTCCAGCTGTGTCTCCTGGAGAATATCCTCTGCAGACGCCCACTGTGCCCTCTGCCCTGCGCCCTGGCCAACGACAAGTATCGGTCCAGGCTGATGCAGGCGAGCAGCATCATGCAGCAGGTGAAGTTGACCGTGTAGCAGGCCGACACCATCTTACAGACGACCTCGCCCAGCTCCCAGCCCCTCGCCGCATCAGCTGCCCAGAAAGGCAGCGTGAAGAGCAGCAGCAGGTCAGCGACGGCCAGGTGGGTCAGGAAGGCATCTGTCATGGTCTTTAGGCGTTTGTGGTAGGCGTAGACCGCCACGACTAAGCCGTTTCCTGCCAGCCCCAACACCAGACACACTGCGTACACGACGGGGAGGAAGAGGGCGGCGAAGGAGCGGACGTCAGCCTTCTCACAGAGGGCCGGGTAGTCGTCGTAGCTGAAGTTGAAGCTGATGTTTTCATGGTAGAAGTAGTCGTCTTCCTCTGAGACATCCATGATAGTCATGATAAAGAGCTGTGAGGGAGGAAAATGCAAACGTTTAGAACCAATCAAAGTGGCAATTAGATCTCAGTTAGATTCTGCAATGTGAGAAATGTAAACGGTTCCTCCCTGTTGCACCTTTACAGATATAAACACTGAGTTTATCCAGCCTCTGGCAGAGAGCAAGGAGAAAAGAGAAAAGAGCAGAGGAATATAAATGATATCCATTTTACAAGTGCTGGTTGTATAAACTATCAAATCCCCCAGTTATACCACTGCTGGGATGAAGAGTTTTATTTTAGATAACTTTAGATTATTTGCAGATTCATATTATTACAAAACAATCAACAAATGCATAATAGTGTGACATTAAAGAATAATATACAATTTCATTGATCGCAAGGGAGAACATTTGTACAATCTACCATCAGATAAATAAATATGCTATTAAAATACACTTTACATGAACCAGGTGGAACATTAAAGTGATATTTACTGCAATATTATTATTATTGCATCAATAGTAAATTCATATTATTCCGCATAATGAGTAGTTTAACTTTTTGTACTTTCAGCATATCTGATCCAAAGAGTTTTTTACAAAGTGAAAGTAATATACTAAAGTAGGCCTTCAGTACTTTTGAATGTATTATTAAAATGTTATAGACTTAAATGGGCTCCACCAACATTAAATGCTGCCTAATGCATCAGTAATAATATTAATGATGTTATTCATAGAAATCTCAAAGGGATACTGCATAATGAGCACTTTTAATACTTTAAGGATACTTTTAGGAACATTTGAATAAATAGTTTTCACATCTATTTACATGTTGGCTAACAATTACTGAAAGAAAGCATGTGCACACAGCATTATAAAGCCGTGATTAAGGAGACAATGACACTTTAGCAGCATATTGTAAACCGAAATGTTAGTGTAAGCTCTAGTGAAGCTTTAAACCGTGATAGAGAAGGATGTAACGTTACATATCAAAATTATACATGTAAGAAATTATAGATAGATACTCACGGTGTCTTTATTCACCCATCTGTCCCGTCTGTGTTCGCCATGCAAGATCTCAGACTACGAGCTCTTCTGCAGAAAACTAGGGTTTGTTTGATTTTCCACCAGCGCAGCACAAGAGGGTGGGAGGCGGCAAGTCACAAAACACAGCGATGTAAAAAACAAACTGTGAGCTGCAACCTCTGCATCACTTTATTTGGTCATATTACTGATGCATTAATGTGTAAAAGTCTTAAGGCTTTATACAGTTTGTTTTGTCAAGTGGTCACAGGATAAATACAAAGGGAGATGAGATGATTGTTGCCATAGTTAATACAAATGTAATGACATTTAGTTTTAGGTAATATAATAAATATAACGTTGCCTCCTAAATAAAGGTGGGGTAGGTAATTCACTTCAGAAAGTTGTTGTTATATTCCATGGAATACTCTTAACATCCCGATAGCAATGAATATATTAGATGCTTTGACAATAAATACATTAAAAAAAATGTCATCTGTGGAAGCCGTGTGCGCTGTTAAAAAGCTACGACCAATCATTTAGCCGGCCCGGCTAAAATAACTGGATGGCCTACCTGCCTGTCAGCCTTCCATCTGTGCCCAAACTTATCTCGTGCCCTCATTGGTCATGCGCACGGTCGTGTGTGTAGAGGAGGGGCTCTGTAAGGAAGTCTGAAGGAAGGGGCCGATTTCTTTCGGCTGCGTAGTGCGTACTTTCAAATTCTAACGCACTCGAACTGGTTTCTCCATTCTTACCTACCCTACCTTTAAGTAGCAGAAAAATAAAAATCTACAAGGAAAGCACCAAACAAATATATATAAGTAGTGCTTCAGTGTTTCCAATACACCTCTATGCAGCATGAGACACAACCCAGGGGGGGGGGAGAATTCCTCATTAATTTAAGATTATTTATTTGAGCTGCATGTTTATAACTGGTGGTGACATGTGTATACAAATATTTGTAATATTAAACATCATCTGGACTAATAGTGGCAGGCTAACAATAGAAGATATCAGTAAAATAATAAACCCCAAAACAACAGAAATTGATTTAAAAACAGATAAAATGATGCCAACCTCTTTACACAATGTCCTGTTAGTTGTATTTTATGCTTTTATGCTACAATATAAAGCAATTTACAGCACACTATAAATCACAATCTGTCATTGACATTTTAATCTACAAGGAAAAATAGCTTGACAAGCGTATCCAAAACTATTAATGTCACCAATGACATTATTACAGTAGACGCAGGATTTGACACGCCCAGAAATCAGTGCAGATCCAGTCTTTCCACCAATTACTGCCAAAGAGCCGGGAAACAGTTCAGCATCGAATCCAGCCGAGTCTTGTAGAAACACAAACACACTTCTGAGAAAGATGAGTCAGAGAGGGAGGGAAACAGGTCAAGTGACAGGAGACAGAAACCAAATCATTTGACTGTTTATGAGGAAACCATTTCTGTGTTATAAACATGTTAAAACTGAGACAACAGCAGATGTGTTAACAGCATCTAAACAAAAAAGGAACAACGCAAACATAAAAGTAAAGAAATGAGACGGATGTTGAAAGATATATTTTGAAGATAATTACAGTTTTGTCAACTTTAATGACATTGAAGAGGTTTATTCCAGCAGTAAAGGCAAAGAAGGTTTATAGCACATTTCCATGGCAATTCAATGTTTCATAAAACATTAGGACAAAGTGCAAAAGAAGCACATAAGACTAAGAGGCAGTTAGATACAATATAAAAATGGTCACTGGAAAACAGGATAATATTAGCACAGCAAGCACAAGCTAAAATATAATAAGATAGTTAAATAAAGTAAAGAATAAAGTGTAGAAATACAATGATGTGCAGACTTGCAAAATGTGAAAACTGCTACTGAAAAAGCATATTGATGGTGTCTTGACTGTATCTCATTTTACACACACAACGATGAGGAATGTGCAAGATTAACTTTCGGGTTGAATCCATCAAGATTTGGCACGCTAGCCTATTTTATTTTTTTTTTAAATCATGCTTCCTTCTCCTTTTTTGTGTTCAATCAGCTTCACCGCCCAGTTACAGAAAACACAAACACCGGATTACACTCTTCAGCATGAAATACTTGTTTCCTATGGCCACATTAAATCACATACACATGTAGAGACCTCAAAGGGGAAAATTACTTGTATTTTGTTTTGTATTATTCTTCTGTTGTCAATGAGTGATCACAAACATAATATAGTTTAAATTCAGACAACTGGTGAAATGTAAGGTTTATATGATTGTTTTGTTAGATAAATAACTTGTTCTGCGGTTAGGTGGTTTACACCCTGTTATTATAACATAAAGGAAGCTCAGTGTTTTAGACATCAGTGTTTTACTAAAATACAAGGAAATCTAGAAACTTTGTGACCCAGGGACTGCAGGACTGCTTTTGGATCTGACACGCTGACAGGCTACAGCTGATGCACAGCTGTTAAACATGCCAGTGTCACCAAAGTGCCCCGAAGTCACTCCCTTTCCCCATTATTCTAATTTCCAGTTTTGGAAAGTCTGCCGTGGTTCCATTCAATTTCAAAGAGCTGTTGACGCTCAGCGTAACCTTGTCGCACTGCCCTTCCAACATCCAATCACAGGGCTTGATGACTAATCACGGGGTTTGTAAAGCATGTTGTAGTCCCAAACGATAGCTGGGGGTTCTGGGTAGTGTAGTGTCTTCGGAAACTGTAGTGTCTAAACCTTTATATATACAGTCTATGGTCTAAACTCCTAAAAAACTATTTGTTTCTCTGAATCGAAGGTTAAAAACACAAAAGCATTGTACCAGTGGCGAGCCGTCATGGCCCTCTAGGCCCTCTGTGAGGGCCTAAGATATTCTAAAAAATAATATTTGAAAACATAAAAAAATATATATATATTAAATATTTTTTAAATATTTTTTTGTTGTTACATTTTTCATTAGTTTTACCAAAATAACTTGATTTAATTAATCCTTCGAATCTGCCTGTTCAGTTTCTGTTGGAATGTGAAGGGTTAAATGCCGTATCTGCGAAACGGGAGAGCATGTTGGTTAGGGTAGGCTACAATTGACCAATCATATCTTCCCTCTAAATGGGCGGGCTTTATTTTCGCGGACTTTATGACAAGTTCCGCCCGCTGTGAAGTCTATAGGCGCTTTCACACTGCGGTACTTTTCCCACAAAGGTTCATGTGAACTCTTTTATCGCGTTCACACCAAAAAGAGCCGGTACTAAAATTAGTTCATGTGAACCTTTTTACCCCCTCGAAAGTCCCTGCTAGAGAGCAGGGACTTTCGAGCGGCTCTTTTGTGAGAAAAGAGCTATATTTCTGATTGGCTGGAAGGATTGCAAACCACGCCCCGCAAAACTCCCAAAAAGTTTTGTGAAGCCGCCATTTTATTATCCTTGCATTAGCATTATTAGCATTAGCATTAGCCCAGCGTAGAAACGCAGAGAGACTAACTTATGGCAACACAAAATAAAACATGGGGCGGTGGAGATGAGGAGGTGTCGGCGTTCTGGCGATTTACTCGGAAGGCTTCAGTAGAAGCTGCTGGGAGTCCCCAGCAGCTTCTACTGAAGCCAGTCCCTAACTCCGGGGACTTCCGGCCGGGGACTCCGGGTGGCAGTATACGCCGTGAAGTGGTTTGCGGCCTGCCAGTAAACCCAAAGCAGAAGAAGAACAAGTGACGTCAGTGGCTTCATTTGCCTAATCCACCACCCCCAGGGACTTTTTACAGTGTGAACGCGATCTGTACTAAAGAGTTCACATGAACCTTTGTGGGAAAAGTACCGCAGTGTGAAAGCGCCTTATGCAAGTGGTGCAGTGACGCATCCTAAAACCCGGAAGTAAGCTGCGCTCGGATTCATAGATATATATAAACACGTGTTTATATATATCTATGCTCGGATTCCCTCGACAAAAAAGCAATGGGATTTCTCCATAGGATTTTGGAAAATAGCTTGAAATAAGGTCTGTGGAAAACGAACCTGTTAGATAAATGCACGTTTTGTTCAGCCGGATAATATCCACATGTCTACCCTACTTTTATTATTTTCGAATCATAAATCTAATCGATAGATTTATGATCGATACATTTATGATTAGCATAAGTTCGTCATGACATCGTTTGCAAAATTATTAACCGAGTAATTTTCAAGATTGAGTTACAAGGATAAACTAGAGTGGCAAAGGATCAGCTGCATGACCCCGCCATCAAGTGCTTCATCCAAAAGGACAGGAGGATGGACTTTGTGTTTGAGTGATTTGATCATCAAAGGTAGGCCTAAGTCATTTTCAATGTGGGCCGCCGTGCCGACTTAATTCATTTGTAATTGTTACTTGGCTGTGGGTGCCCTGTCATGATAGGTGTTTAGATAAATGGTGTTGTTTTGTGTGGTAGAGGGTCGCTGTCATTGATAAGTTTTGCACCCCGGGCCGCTGTTTTGATATTCCGCTTAAGTATACGGTGTGACGTAATAACTCTTCTTTTTTTTCGAGGGAAGTGGGGGGGGGTCAGAGGGCCTAGGTATAAAAGTCACTGCTCGCCACTGCATTGTACACAATTTAAACCAATCAATATTGTGTAATTAGCAAGGATAAACTGATGTTTTTTAGTGGATGAGTAATGCAGATATCACTGTGTAATCATTTGACAGTGAGGGGAATATATCCGATTTTATTATGAAAACTTCGAGCCCGGAAAAACTGTTTTCACCCACGCTAACTTTACATGGAAGCTGCCGCATATTCACGTTATCCTGGCGAGACCTCAAATCATCTTCGTAATATCTATCAAACTATAGATCCTACACATCAACTGGACGTGGATTCTAAAAGTACAATATACACTTCTCGCTAGAAATCTAATCAAAAGCATTTTAATGGCCAAACTATTCTACAATTTAGGATTTTCCAGAGAGGGTTATTTGTGAATAAACGGGAGCATGTTGTTTCTTACACGACCACTAGAGGTGCTACACTTTAAAACGTGGCTATAGGTCGTAATAAGGTGCTTAAACAATCGACCTATTTGGTCGTTTTTTGTAGGAGGACAGGCTGTTTACAATATGTGTAGTGTGTGACCCTTCAACACAGAGCAGATGCTTTC